TAAGAGCCAGCTCTTCCCTGATGTCCATTTTTGGGACAGAGTTGTTCTCTTTCTGGGATCCTGTGGCACACATTCATAGGAATTTGATCTTCTTAGACTGGGACTGACATTTTATATCATACAGAACTAAACTAAGGACAAGTATTATGTGCAAACAGAACTTATCAGTTAAAGTCAGTTAGTAATTAAAATAAGATATTTGTTTTATGAAGAAGTCAAATACCAAAAAAAGTATAATATAGTGAACAGGTTGCAGTTGTTCATCAGAAACATTGAAACAGTTCATATATATAGTCAAGAATCTACATTAATTATCAGAAATATAATATTTAACAACACTAACAAGTTATTTGACAATTTCATTTGATTCAAAACATGTTTTTAACCTTTTAGTTCAGATTTAGGTCAAACTGTTACAAATTTAAAATACTGACTTGTGGGATTTAATACCTGATTATGCTGAACTATACTGCAGAGGGAAATATTTAACAACAGTAGTAACAAGGTACACCGCACATTAAAGTTTTACTTGCATTCCTGTGATAACCTGATGTTGGTATGATGCACTGAACGAGATTAAATCATCTCTAACTGTGTACTGTGTGAAGGAAGTTACTGTTTACAGATTTTTTTAAAATATTGCAGATATATTTTAAAGTAAATCTTTCTCATAATGCCACTGCATCATCTGTTTTGAATTTTAATTAAAATCTTGGGTTTTTACTAGGGGTGCAACGATACTTGTATCGATATTGAACCGTTCGATACAGTACTTTCGGTTTGGTTGTATCGAACAATACAAAATTTTTAATTTATTTTATCAACTTTTCTTCTGATGATGCTGTCTGTGTTGAGCGCTCAGTGGATCTGCGCTCGACAGTGCAGCCTAGGCAGAGTAGTCGAACGCAGATTCACTGAGCGCAGGGCAAGCTACAGAGAGACTGGGGCTGTGTCCAAATTCAGGGTCTGCACGCTTGAAGTACGCGCTATACGCTTGTGAAATGGGACGGTCTAGCCTTCATCATGCTGTTCAGGGTGCCTAGCAACCATGATACTAACCGCGAGACACGTTACATACAGCTTTGTGTGACATAAATGAAGGAGAAAAAATGTTTTGTTGGTGATTCATTTTTGTCATGACATCACTTTGATTAGTTGAGTATCTGAGGCTGAGACCACGGGACTGTAAA